CCCCCCCCCCCCAGGCCCCTAGGTGCATGCATGGTCGACCTGTGGGGCCGAATAGACAAATGTTCTGGATGCCTTCGATTTGAAGATTTCTGCAAAGACGCCTAACAGGGGTTATAGGGTTTAGGAAGCTACCCCAAAGGCCCACCTCAAACCGTGCTGAAACTATTCTAAAACCCCTCTAAATCAAACTGTGGCAGAATTGCCATGCCCAGCTCGTTTCCAAACTCTGCATTGCCGCTGCATCCTCTGGCCGTTACGAGCAATCTGCTGAGGCCATGGAGAAGAAAAAAAACACACTAAACCCTAAACCCCTCAGAGTGGCAATGAGCCACAGGGCAACAGGGAAAGCTCCTTCGGAGCAACTCCCCCGTTAACTATACAACAAAACTGCCCGAGCGACCGTTGCTAGAAAAAAGCTTGAGGAATGGAGCAAGATGCTGCGAGCCATCATCAAGCCTCTTCAGTTAGTCTTTCATCTGCAGCAAATGACTTTCAACCACAGGAGCTTCTACAGGAAATGGCACCGAGGAGTGGTGGAGAATGATCTTCCAGCTGCCCTTAAACTTCTGGTACCCGAAGGTATATTCGACCCCGACTTCGGCCCCGGTTTTCGCGTTGGTGAAGTAGTAGTATCCCTGGGCCAAGGCATAATCCCCCAAGCAACTGACCAGATCATTGAACATCAAGACCTTTTTCCAGCCCTCACCGCCATTTATGGCAAAGCCCCCATCCTCTGAGAAGCCGCCCATGTCTTTCGTGGCTTCGTAGCCAACGAAATACGACAGCGCGCCGATTTTCGTGGGCCGGAATGGTTCATGGGCAGCCTTGGTTGGCTTGAACATTACTTCTGCGTTCTTGATGTCGTAACCGTAGAGGTCATGGATTGCATGCTTGGCCACCTCGACATAGTCTCCTTCTGGATCAGCAAGGTATGATGCGGTGATGTCCAAGATAGCCTGCCTCCATGCTGCCTGAGTTGCCTCCACTTCTTCAGAGCACACTGCGTTATGTTTTGATGAGCCCATATGATTCTGGAGCCATTCCTTTGACAACCTCGCGTTTTGCGAGATCTGCATCAAACTCATGGACTCTTTAGGAGCCTGAACTGGGAATGGTACCGAGGAGTGGTGCACGACGATCCTCCACTTGCGTTTAAGGTACTGGTACACAAAGCTGTACTCGACCTCGGCTACGGCCCCGGTGTGTGCATTCGTGAAGTAGTAGTACCCCTGGGCAAAGGCAAGATCCCCTGAGCAACTGACTCGATCATTGAACATCAGGACCTTTTTCCAGCCCTCACCGCCATTTATGGCAAAGCCCCCATCCTCGGGGATGCCACCCATGTCTTTCGTGGCTTCGTAGCCGACGAAATATGACAGTGCACCGATCTCGGTGGAGCGGAATGGTTCATGGGCAGCCTTGGTTGGCTTGAACAGCACCTTTGCCTTCCTGACGCCATAAGCGTAGAGGTCATGGATTGCATGCTTGGCCACCTCGACATAGTCTCCTTCTGGATCATCAAGGTATGATGCGGTGATGTCCAAGATAGCCTGCCTCCATGCTGCCTGAGTTTCCTCCACTTCTTTTTGGCAGGTCTCATCTCCATGACCTTCGCCAGCTCCCAGCGCATGCTCCTGGTTCAAGGACCCCATCTGCTGCAACAGCACGCTCTCCTCACTGTAGTCACAGTCGGTGCATGTCGCTGCTGCTATTTCTTGCATGAAGCTGAGCACCACTGCGACCCCTGTCATCACTGCCGACTTCATCCTGGCTGGTCGTCAGGTGTCAGCTGCTAATCCGTCAGACTGGGTCGTCACTTGAGCGATAATGGCAACTGCAAGAACCCAGCAGCTTCCAACCCTCCGTCAACTTGTTACAATTTTGTAAAGAAGACTACCCTGCACTCCTAAAGCCAATCAGGCGTGGCCTTCAGCGTGTCCCCCTGCGCCCCGGTGCGCGATGCGCGCTCGGACCCGGCAAGGTCGACCAGGTTCATCTTTGAGAAGTTGTTGTTCGAACCTGGGTTTAGGGTTTAGGGCCTAGGGCTTTGAGTTCGAACCTGGATTCATGGATTACCTAAACCTCACATCATCTACATTTTGTAGGGATCCCTTCCTATGATTTCCTCAAGCAGCAGCTTAAAACAGGTAGGTTTTTCGAAGGGTCCAGGTAGGGATTGAGAGAACCTAGGTTTGATCGAAAACAAATAGGTCTGTGGGCTTTGGACTCAGGATCGGTGAGGGGCACAGCTGGCTTTGGGCTAAGCCTTTAGGGTGCCAGGGTTTAGGGTTTAGGGTTTAGGGTGAGCACTTGGATAGGCATCTGGACTATGCAGCGGCACTGCGTTGCAGTCCCTGCAACAGATGTGGGTTTGAGATTTAAGCGAACCAAGTAACACACCTTCATGGTTTGAGACACGCTCTTTGTTGAGGTAACCCTAAACCTCTCACTAAACCCTATAAACCCAAACCCCCAAAGCCCCTAAACCCTAAACCCTAAACCCTAAACCCTAAACCCCGAGGCCCTAAACCCTAAACCCTAAACCCAATAAACCCCAAAACCCCAAAGCAAATACGTCCGAGTGACGGAAGCAGGCAGCGTCATGTCGACACAGAGCTGACCTTCGGTTGGAGTTTGCCTCAGCGCATGAGGGACAGAGACTCGGCAGCACGCTAAATCCCTTTAGGGGTTTAGGGTGTAGGGTTTAGTGAATCCCTAAACCCTAAACCCCGAAGTCAAGGACCGTAAAGTCTTGTTTACAGTGGCACAGCATCGTAAAAGCAAGCAGCATTTCCTACACTACCCACACCCCTAAACCCTAAACCCGCAACCCGAAATCCTAAAGCCAAAACCGGAAACCCGACACCCTAAACTTCAAACCCTAAACCCTGAACCTACATGGGGGGTTTCCGAAAATAGGGGACCCTAATAGAGTACCTTAAACAGTAGGATCCTTGTTATGAGGACCCCAAAATAAGGTACCCCTAATTTTTGGAAACTCCCAAATGGAAACCCTACACCCTAAACCCTAAACTCTAAACCCGGGGTTCTTCCAAAGTCCTGGGCCGCGTTGCCAGGTAACGCGCTGCGGCCATTCAAAGGCCTGGGAATTGTCCTGAGTCAGACAGTCAAGGGACTAAAGGAAGGCTTAACCTTGCAGGGATAGGATCTGGGAGTAGAGGTCTCTGATTGGGTGTAGGGTTTAGGGTTTAGGGTCTAGGGTTTACGGTTTAGGTGTCAAGGGACTAAAGGAGAGACCCTTAAAGGGACCCTTGGCTATATAAGGGGTATAGGGTATTAGGATTCAGACAGTCAAAGGGTAAAAGGAGGGACCCTTAATAAGGACCCCTAGGTATATAACCTGTATTTGCCCATTATGTATCCCATTGAAGAGTAGGGATCCCCATTAAGGGTCCCTCCTTTTGCCCTTTGAAACAGCCAGTAGGTGTTTCGAAAGCCTGTCTTCTCGGAACGGTAGAGCTGCTGCAATGAGTATATGGATCAGAATCCGCGATACTGTCGACATCAATGGCCCAGATTGGGAGTAGCACTCATTGCCGTCGTTGTCGATATTATACCCAGCAAACTGCAGTCCGAACCAGCCTCGCAGGATCTTGGAGATTGATCGCACGCACCCAATTGGCAAGGCAGCTCTAAGCGGTATCAAGGACTCAGACCGTAGGGGGTCGGTTCTGCACTCGTGGGATGGCGACTGCCATGCTCAATACTTACTTACTGATGTGATTGAAGATCGATTCGGAACATAAGTAATCACCAAGCCAGCTTTCGACATCAGGATTAACATACATTAACATCATTCTGCCCTTGAGAGATCCTCGTTTGCATTTCATTGCGATCCCTGGCTCAGGACATCACCACCGAGAGCGCCCTGACCGCCATCCTTGACATGGAGGACTCGGTCTCCGCTGTTGATGCCGAGGACAAGTGCAAGATCTACAGCAACTGGGCAACATCACGCGCACGCACAGGCGCGCACACGAACACACCCACGCACCCACCCACCCACCCACGCGCCCACCCACCCACGCACCCACCCACCCACCCACCCACCCACCCCCCACCCACACACACACACACACACACGTGCAGGTCTCCAACTGAGAAATGAACTCATGACTGGCAGCTTCAGAACGTTTACATCTCTCTTCAACAGTTGCAACTACTCGCGCTCGGACTCACACTCGGAATCACCAATGTACAGCGACGATGTCAATATGGAAACATTGCACGGCTTGCACTGTATAGGACGTCACAAAAGCAGGTACACAGCGGAGCGTCCCCCGCTGCTTCACAGGCAGCTGATGAGCGTCTTTGTTAGTGCCGGTCTCATCAGTGCCCCCGGCACCCCCAGTAGCACTGATAATTACAAATACACAAATCCTTGGCTACAGAGGATACACGCACGCACGCACGCGCGCACGCACGCACGCACACGCACGCACCCACACACACACACACACCAGCATCAAAACTATCGTTCAAAGATGAGCCAAAGGCTTTTGGAACGCGAGTCGCGCAGACCGTCTCATGAGATCTGGAGAGCCATCATGCGTTTGTCTTTTGAACGCCGGCCTTGTCTCTGACCCGCAGCGGTGAAGCAGGAAAGTGCCAGCATTTCCAATCTCCGAACATACGAGACTTTCTGAACGCGATGGAAACCGATAGTAACCATCGAGGTCCGCATTGCAGCACAGTGCATGCACGACTTGGAAGAAACCCACACCTCCAAATGCGGCACCTCTGCTGGAAGTAGCAGCAGTCATGTCCACTCACACTTCACCCTCCAGGCAAACCTGCGCCGGCAGATATTCGTGAGAATTTTCGGGGCCGGGGTGTCGCAAAACATTGGCCTTCTCTGTGGGCTCTGCAAAGGGACTGGCCCGGGCTCCACGCACCGCGCCGGGCCTCGGGGCTCTGACGTCCTCTGCGAGGATTCTGCGACAAAAAGCAGCAGCTGAGCTTCCGGCTCTGCAGACGGAGCTGTGGGTGGGACTGACGATGGAGTCGGTGCAGCTTTCCTCATATTTGTCTCTGTAGGGGAAGCATCAACTTTCGCCGGTACTGGCCGTGATGGTGGGCCTGCCTGAGGGCGACTGGGTGTGGGGCTGGAGTTTGGCAATGGGGACCGGGTGAAGCCAGGGGCTGTTGATGACACCACGGTGGAAGCGGGTCTTGTGGCTGGTGGCCCTTTTCCTGTCATTGCCACCGGTGCCGGCGGCACAGCTGCAGGCATGGGCGCAGGCACCGTTCCGGCAGGCGGCGTCTGCGCTGGCACCACTGCTGTAGGAGGCATTGACGCTGGCAACGGGACTGCAGGCACTGCGGGCGGCAATGACGCTGGCGTAGCTGCTGCAGGGGCTGCTGACGGCCCCGCAGCTTGCACGCGCGGCACAGCGGCGATGCGCTCCAGTCGATCTATCAGGGTGTGCTCGAGGCGATCCAAACGACCTTCGATTCGAGAGAGATCTGCATCACTCCTGCCCTGAAGCTTGTTCTGCTTTAGCTCCTTGCCATAGCCAGGAACCCCTGACATGGTCCCAATTGTCCCGACGTCTTTCGGCATCTTCGAAGCAAACGCTGGGGAAGCGTGGCTGCGGCCAAGGAAGCGGCCAAGGCGAGTGAAGATGGTTTGTAAGCACCGCATGCCGAGCACCAGGACAAGGGCACCGAGACAGGAGGCAACAAAGACCACCACGAAACAACCGGGGTAGGCAGCTCCAAAGCAAGACAAAGCGGCAGCCTGCAAGTATGGCTTGGCGATCGCCCAGCAGCTTGTCACCGATTGTGCTGCCAGAGTATGGCAGGACCCCACAAGTTCTGGTACGTTCGCCCACAAGTGCCACGCTGCGACGGCATATTCTGGTACTGCTTTGAGCCATGAGGGTGCACCTTCCAGCGGATCAGTCGCACCCTCACAACCTCCTGAAGCCCTCAGCTTCTGCTCGAGCACAACAGCTGCTGCTGCTTCCACCCTGGCCTGGCTCTGAGCTTCTTCAACTTCTTTGGCCTTGTTCGCCAGCTCTGCTTCAAGCTCTGCCACTCTCCCCGCTTTACTGCCATCTGCGACTTTGAGCCTCT